GGGACACTGGGGACACTGGGGACATTGGGGACACTGGGGGGACAGTGGGGACATTGGGGTCATGGGGACATTGGGGACATCAGGGACCCTGGGCAGATGGTGAACATGCAGTTCCACCTACGCCAGGCCCAGCCCATCATGGCCCAGAGGTGACACGGGGATACTGGGGACACTGGGGACATTGGGGACATTGGGGGGATTGGGGACATTGGGGAGAGTGGGGACACTGGGGGGATTGGGGACACTGGGGACACTGGGGACACTGGGGACACTGGGGACATTGGGGACACTGGGGACATTGGGGACATTGGGGACACTGGGGACACTGGGGACACTGGGAACCTGGCCCTGGCCCTGCATGTGATGGCACGGACAGGACATGGGGACACAGGGGACATGGGGACATGCAGGAGACACGAGGACGTGTGGAAGGCTTGGGACATCCTGGGGACACCTTGGGGACAGGCTGGGGACAGGCTGGGGACACGGGGACAGGCACACAGGCGGGTGGGTCACGGGGGAGCAGGGACATGCTGGGGCTTGGGGACACATGGGGACACGGCCCCGTGGTGACATGGGGACACCTGGGGACAGCTGGAGGTGTGGGGGTGGCACAAGGGGGACACGGGGCCACCAAGGGTGTGGGACACGTGCGGTGGGTGGCCCCGGGTGGGTGCAGCATGGGGACAACACGGGGGTGGCACAGGTGGCACCTGAGCCTCGTGTCCCCAAGCGCCAGGGCCACCCGTGTGCCCTGCCCTGTGTCCCCACCGTCCTTGTGTCACTCCTGTCCCCTGTGACCCTGGCCCCGTGTCCTGCTGTCCCCACGGTCCTGCTGTCCCCTGTGCCTCCATGTCCCCATGTCCTCGTGTTGCTGCTGTCCCTGTGTCCCCGCTCCACGTCCTCTGTGTCCCCTCGCTGTCCCCATGTCCCCGTGTCCCCTGTCTCCTGTGTCACCCTGTGTCCCCCTGTGTCCCCACTGTCCCCAGTGTCCCCCGGTGTCCCCCCCGTGGTGTCCCATGTCCTTCAGGTCCCCTCACATCCCCCTGGATCTGTGTCCCCTCCTGTCCCATGTCCCTCGGTGTCCCTATGTCCCTGACGTGTCCCTGACGTGTCCCTGACGTGTCCCCACAGTGTCCCTGCCCTGTCCCTGATGTGTCCCCCGTGTCCCCGTGGTGTCCCTGCCGCGTCCCCATGTCCCCCTGTCCCTGCCGTGTCTGCATGTTGTCTCTGACGTGTCCCTGCCGTGTCCCCGCAGAGTCCATGACATGTCCCCGCGTGTCCCCGCGGTGTCCTTGACATGTCCCCGTGTCCTTGATGTATCCCCATGTGTCCCCACGGTGTCCCTGATGTGTCCCCATGTGTCCCCGTGCTGTCCCTGACATATCGCTGTGTGTCCCTGCGGTGTCCCTGCGGTGTCCCTGCTGTGTCCCCCTGTCCCTGACTTGTCCCCACGTGTCCCTGACGTGTCCCGGCGTGTCCCTGGCGTGTCCCCACGTGTCCCTGACGTGTCCCCGCGTGTCCCTGCCGTGTCCCCGCATGTCCCTGTGTGTCCCTGTGCTGTCCATGTCATGTCCCCCTGTCCCTGACGTGTCCCCGCGTGTCCCCGTGTGTCGCTGACGTGTCCGCGTGTCCCTGACGTGTCGCTGCCGTGTCCCTGATGTGTTGCTGCCGTGTGTCCGCGTGTCGCTGACGTGTCCCCGCGTGTCCCCAGGTGCAATAACCGCACTCAGTGCGTTGTGGTCGCCGGCTCCGACGCCTTCCCCGACCCCTGCCCGGGCACCTACAAGTACCTGGAGGTGCAGTACGACTGCGTGCCCTACAGTGAGTGCCCCACGGATCCTGCCCCA